GTTCCTAGCTATCAGATCACTTTGATACACTCTATCCCCAAACCACAGCAGCGTTCTTAGATTTCTGCGGTGGAGACGCATTTGCAGTCTCCGGCTTGGAGACTCCTGCTCGTCACGTGAGGGGGCGATCGTGCCACCACCACCACCACCACCACCCAGGAATCATCCCTCAGGTAGCATTACCACCGTCTTGACTACAACCCCAGCAACGCGGAATACAATCCAGCCGGTGAATCATCATCATCATCGACATCAGCCATGATCAACCCACTGCTGGATGAAGGCTTTCCCTAGCTGTTGCCGTCTCTCACGGTTCTGAAATATACTTTGAAAACATTTTTTTTTTAATTTTGATTTAAAGCTTTCGTGACTGCAAGGATTCATATTCTTGGTTCTTTCGGTAAAGTCACGTAGAAGGGAAACAAATAAAATACAATAAATATAAAACAATAACATTCTCACGACGTTTCACATGCAACACCAGCCATCATCATCAGGTGTGAAAACCTTCTACGTGACTTTATCGAACGAACCAAGAATATAACATTTTTTAAGAGGGATCAAGAGTAAAATTTCAGATTGTGTTCAATAATTGTGATCTGGTTTTTTTTTTGCCAGGTTTCCTCACGAGATGAAGTGTTTTTGTTTGAGCGAAGACATCGATTCATTGCAAACTAAAGGCACATGATCAACAGCAGAGTCAGTGAAACTGGGTTTTTAATTATCCATAGTGTGTAGGATTTTTTTCACGTTCGCGCTGTGAAGCTCAACGGTGTGTTTTCGAGTCGTACTGCGTGCTGTTCGGCACGATGACCGACGTTTCAAAACATCGAACATCGTGCTAAACAACACGCGGTACAACCGAAAACACACACATTCATAATAATCTGTAAAAATATGAGCTATTTATTAACTGCTGCGGTATTTGACTCCAACTGCGCTCATTGTTGTTAACTTGTCTGTACAGTGTTTTTTATCGTGTCGATCGACTTTTTAATCGCCCTTTAATCGTGTTTTCAATCGTGCTTCACGAATGTATTTCCTCGTTTACTTCTTTGCCCCAGGGGCAAGATGTTAACTACCTCGCCTGGTATACAGGAGGTCGTGGGTTCAATCCCGACCCTGATGCCTGCTGTTTATGTGGAGTTTGCGTGTCTCTCTCCCGGTGGTCCCATGGCTTTTTCTCCAGATCTTTCGGTTTGTCACTTCACATTTATAGTCGACATGCATTTAGAGTATTTGGTTGCTATGCCTTTCCACGTGATAAGCGACTCCATTGGGCTATCATTTATTGCTTTTGAAAAAACATCTGCATAGCTCAGTGGACCTGTCCTAGTCAAAGCAAATACATCAATATATTAATATATGTTTAACTTATCATTTATAGCCGTATTTAGAAATGTTAGAGGCCTAGTTATATATGAATTAATCGATTAATCTAGGTTGTCTATGCTCACAACAAATGTATTGAATCGTGGTCGTAATATAAATGTATCACATTCGTTGTATACAGTGGATTTATATTACCTCTACAGATAAAAGCGGCCACTACATTCACCACACTGTCAATTCTTGAATCAAATATTGGACCCTGAACCATAACAATTTAATTATTCGCGAGAGGTGGGTCGTTACGCCCTACGGAAGACATCAAGCGAGTAATTCAAAGTGTCTAATTATTTTGGATGGAAATTTGAATGTAAAAATAACGATTAGCAACGTGAAATTTTACGAAGAAAATGTGTTTTGCTCATAGCTGTCTGAATGAAAATACAATTCAAATATAAATCGTTTTAATGAAACAATATCAAACAAAAATTGCTTCATTTTTTATTTAATATGATGTGGTGAGGGACATCAATTAATGTTTTTTTTATATTTCCAAATAAACACTATATTTTGCCAAGTCTCTACCACCAACAACAACAAAAATATTGCAATGTGTCTGAGCCGACCATCCAATTTTGATGAGAACCTGCGAACCAATGTTCCTTTCGGAAATGTATTATATCTTGTCAAGGTAAAAAGCCCATCCAAAACCAGCCCGAGTGGCTCAACTGCACAGCCGGTGGATGGAGCGCTCAACTTGAGCGAAACCTTCGCATCTCGTGAAACAAACCTGGTGAAAACAAATCACAATTATTGAATAAATCTCTCGATGTTACATTTTTCCCTTTCTGTGAACACGGCCCGCAGTGTCTACAGATGCACCGTTACAGAAAATGACCCAGCGTGTACGGAAAGTGTACCTGTTTTTTAATTTGTATAATATTTTCTGAAACTCTCAATAGAATTGTCCTTTCACACGCGTACGCTCTGTTGTTTTTTTAGCAGAATGATTTTGTTTTATTTTCTTACATTGGACGAAGGAAAAGTAAGAAACACGCCCGGAGGACATCCACTGCGGAGATGGATCGATTAAGTCAGCTCGCGTGAAGGAGCGAGATGGATTGTTGCGTAGTGTGACCGTGAGGGATGGCGGTGAGATTGGCAAGGCTTTCATCCAGCAGTGGATAAATCATTGCAGATGATGACGATGATGGTGTTGCATTTTCAGCATTTTAATTATCAACAAGTAATGTGGTAAAGGTCTTTTGAAATGTGATCATGTGTGCAAGCAAGCAAAGTTTACCTATCCATTTCAAGAATGGCTTGAGGTTTCCATGGTGTTAGCAACAAACTTTTTTGTAAAAGGAGTAAAATACACAGCAGTCTATTCTATGGATCTATCTCACACACCCACAAATGTACATTTTTGTGTATATCTACCCCAAATGTTATTAATCTGGATAATATTTATAAAATTAATATTCAGCACAGGCACTCTCAAACAGACACATAATTACTTAATGGCAAGTTTTAAATTACATATGCAGGTCCACTTAATAACACGCACACATAGGTATATAAAACGGGAAGTCAAACCTGTCTCAGAATAAGGATATCAAAGTTACACAGTCTCGCACAAACACGTTTATTGTTCAGCGCATTAGTGTCTGACGCATATGCACTTACGTTATTCTACTACACAACTGGTACTGTATGTTAACTGCATGAGAATAATTAAGGTAAAGGGGTGGGCGAACATTTTTGGTGATGCACTCTGACAACTTTAAAGAACTATGTTGTGTGAGATCCCCAACAATCGCATGTCGATGACACATCCTGTCAAAAAGCAGTATAGCAGATACGTTTATGTGCACATACTTTGAGTGTTGTCTCCATATCGGCATGTTTTGGGTTTATTTTATATTTAGGGACTGCCCAAACGGTCTTTAGAAACTATGCGCAGAGTATTTGGCTGCTCTAAATCTCCACATGATAAGCCACGTTGTTTAAAAAGAGTTCTATAACTCAGTGTGCCTGACCTGGTAAAATAAAAAAATAGGCAAGATGCTCTGGAAAAAGTGACACGTGACGAATTGCAATGATTCATGGTCATGATTCGATTCAAGATTCAAATAACTTTTGTCTGATTTGTAATGTCACAAATTCGTGCAGTTTGGAATGCACAATTGTTTCTAAATGTACCACTAGCATATCAAATGCATATGCATCACAACGATACTGGATTCATACACACAATTGAATGCATGTATCACAAGTAGGAGAATCAATTTCAATCGATTAGTCGTTACATTGCTTGCATCTGTGCCCTCTTTTCATCTTTTTTTTGCTACAAAATTTACTGCCCAACATGAGTTACTTAACGTAGTAAAACAACTCGTGTTCTTTTGCCACGGCTGTAAAACTGTGGCTTCGGACAGATGGGATTGGTTTGTTACAAAAAGAGCAATCACTTTGGAACTTGGCATCAGTACACACAAACAGTGCATGTAGCGTCATCACGGGGAAACGAACACCATCTTCAGAGGCTGTGACTCAGGCTCTTTAGTCAACAATAGAGGCACCTTTCATGCCACGTGCACTGAGAAATTTCCACAAAGCGCATGAAATGTTGATCTCTGAGGTCTATACTGTCAGATTGGTTTGCATGATCTCACAACGCGAGCAGATTGCTCTAACTCTGGGCTCGAGTTTGATTTTTTTTGGCACGCAAAAAAGACGGAATTTCTTCCAGCAAATGAAAGGGCACCATAACATAGTAGCCGCTAAACTCTCGGTGCCATCACACGAGGCTGTGCAATCATTTAATAAAATGGGAATTTAAAAAAATTGCATTAAACTTTAATCACATGAGATAACGTACAATTAACCAAAAAAATATGTTCTTAATATGAGAAGTGAAATTATTCAGCAAAAGTATGCCAGTAACACTGTGTTATTGTGTACAATACGTCAGAATCCCTACAGGAGCTTTTAGGATATTGCCGAAATGCTATAGGATTTATTTTTGTAACAGTTCTCAGGAGAGAATAGGTGAAAGGGTTAAGTATGTCATATTTTAAACATTATTGCTTTGCTCCTGTTGATATAAAAAAGTAAACCAGTTTTATATCGTTTATAGAAACTCCAGCAGATGGTAATAGAGTAATACTTTTAACATTTTTCATAGACTCACATTTTTTTATTCTAATTTGACCACGTGCAAAAATTGCTTGATAATTTGCGAACATGCCAAAACGACACTTCTAATTCGACCATACGGTTAAATCATCCATGCAATCGTCTTACGGGATCACTGTGCAGCATTCTGCATCTTGTATTCTGCTTCAGCATTACTAGATCATGTAGACAGCGAAAATAGAAATCCTTCATTTAGCTGCAGACCACACTTCATCTTCGTGCCTGTCCGCCACGCTGCAGTTTACAAGTTCCAATTGTTTGCCGTTGGAAAGGCGAGTAAGGGTCACATTGAGAGCAGCATATTGCTTCTGGGTTTGAACACACACTACCCGTAGCCCATCCCGAAGGCTTGCAGAGTTCAGACAAGCCCAAAGGAATTCTTGAGAAAGGGCTCTGCAGTCCGCCAGGCTATATTTAGCTTTATAACCCCTCCCCCCCCCCCCCCCCCCCGGGGAGGAGTGCTGAAGCAATTGGGGGCTTAAAGCGCTTTGTTCCTCACTGCGTTAAAATTCCAAAGCTCTGATCAGAGGTTTTACACATCCATCCGCAGTGGGTTTCATGGTGTTTATATATGGCATAATGAGTACCCCACCCCTCCTACCCCACTTTTTTTTTTAACTGCAGACACCCAGAAAAAAAAGTATTTCGTGCAAATTATAATTGCACGCCACTGTGTGCCAGCGACTGAAATCGCCCGGCGATGCGCCCGATCTCGCCACGTCGCAGAAGATGAGCAGAGTTGAGAGCTCCGGTGCCGTCGTCTGGGATGGGATGGGATGGGCCACCGGCGTGCGCAAAAAAGTGAGATCTTACATCGACGTTGCGGGGCAGTTAGAGGGTCGTGGAGCAAAACAACAATAATAACAACAACAACAACAACCACACTGTTCTTTCTGCCTTGCCCTTCACCTTCATCGACGAAGCACTGCCCAGCATAGTGAAATATGGTCACATATATATATCTTACTGCCCAGCAAGGTATGGGGCGGCCTTCATCCAGCAGTGGATTGACAAATGAGCTGTGCATGTATAATCGTGCGTATATATACAATTTGTGTACTGTATCTGAATAAACGCACGCTGTTTTTCGTCTCTGGAGGTGACATTCCCAATGACATTCTGTGACCTGCAAAATAAACTCGACTCATACTTACAATGGACACTGTACATTCTTTGACATCCGAGAAGAGGAAGTTCAGCCCGCCATCCTGACTGCTTCCACGTGTGCATAAAGGATCCCGGTGCATACTTGGACTAGGGAGAGCCACCGAGTGACTGTGTCAAAGCCTGCCGGCGGTGTCTAGATTCCCCACAAGCGGGTGGGAAAGGCCCTCCTTATACAGACGCCGGACAGTTGATCAAACCTGGCCGGATGGGAAAAATCGATTTGTTACTATTAAAGATCTGTATTTTATTTTACCAGGTATAAGGCCCACTGAGCTCTATTTTTAAATAAGCGACCTGGTCACAAATTATAGTTCGACGCAGTGGCGATTCATAGCATCCATTGATTGGTTTCCTTTAACTTTCCTTCTTCCATCGAACCCACGACCTTCTGCATCACAGGCGAGATAATTAACATCGCGCCACTTTGGAACCACTATCTATCTATCTGTCTGGTGTCATCCTCCTAAACTGAGGGTTGATACTCATGACAGGGGCTTTCCACATTTTCTCTCTCACGGAGAGTCCCGTCCACCTGCGACCAAAGATCCCTCCTATAACTTTAACAGACTGTAGGGGCAAGTGGTGTTAGCAAGCACCTATGAAGGCGCACGAGGGCGGGGTGGTCAGCACCACTCCCGGCCGCCTTTGTCTCCTGAGTGGTGATTTTTACACACTGCACTCAGTCGGCCTAGGGAAGGCCCAGGACCGGGACCGGTTCAAATAATCGTCACTCGTGTTGGCCGTGAGCAGGCATCGAACCCGGGTCGCCAGGTTTGTAGCACAGCGCGCTAACCGCTACACTACCACTCCCCCGCCACCTGCTCACACTGCTCCACCAGCGGATTGGTTTCATTCCACTTTCCTCCTTCCATTTCCCCTTGAAGAATCATCTTAATCATTATGTCGCCAGTTGACCCTCCTAGGATATGTCATACGGTTGACAAATGGAAGCAAAAAAATATATTCACATAAAAATACGAATTGATTCAAATGACGGTCCCGTTCGCCATGCATATTTTTAAGATTAATACAACATTTAGGAGGCCATGAAAACCCTTTGTATGGACTTTTAAAGCAATAAAATGCGCCTTTTAAAACAAGAATGTAGCATAATATCTGGCGCAGGACATTTTTTTTTATTCCATACCACCGGCAAACTAAAAAAATAGGGTTAAAACAAGAAAGGGATATTCCAAGTTATTTTTCGAAGGAATTGAATATTAGATTTCAAATTCAGCTGTAGCTACCCAGCACTCGAAAAAGCCTTAGATACAATTACAATATCAAAGCAAGTGCTGCATTATCAATTAGCACATCAATACTGTAAAAAAAATGCCAAAGAACAATACACTGTAAAAAAAAATGCCAAAGAACAAAATGTTACCTGAGCAGAAACTTATCAACATATTAAAGTTGAGGAAGAATTCAAGAGAGTAACAAAAGGCAAGTGGAGATCAGCTACACGCAAATGTACTAGCGGCCAAATGCACCTTATATTCTGGTGCGGAGTCAAGAACACCCCGATAAAGACTTCTCAGCTGATCGTGTGTGGACATACGGAGACTGCCAATTATTTGCGTGGAAAGTATAAATATTGGTGGGGGGATACAGAGGGACACGTGGTCTCCTCCGCAGGCATTGCCCTGTGCAGGAAGCCACTTAATGTGTGTTTATTATTGTTTCAACAAAACTAAACAAACACGGTACATAAATAAGTGTACAGCGCTGGGGCATAAATCAACAGGGTGTACGTTTTTTTTGAACTCTCGAATATCATTCACAAAGCGATGTAGCACCAAATAGTAATGTGAAAGGGTCGTCATTCAATGCCCAGTCCTGAGTTTAATGGGCTGACTGTGTTTGTTGTGGCTTACAGTACATTGCAGTGCTCATTACGTGTGTGTGGGTGTTCTTTTTCTTAAGTGTCACATTTTAAACAATACCTTAGCATGACAACTCTGAGATTATATTGGGAATAAAATGATATGTAATTTACAATATTATATTTGCACTTTGAATGTACCTTGCTTTGCTTTGAAAGCTGAATTCTATTGAAAATGCCGTGGACTTTTTATCTCAAGGTCATCATTATTGCAGTTGATTGATTTATTAAGTTCACAATTTAGTTTCTTATTTTTTGTATTAAATTCGTTACTTTTGGATCTCCGTCAATCACTGCTGAATGAAGACCTCCCCAATACCGTATATCAGCCATGGGAATTGTATGACCACACTTCACCATGCTGGTCATTGTGGACTGGTGAAAGTAGATGCTTGCGATCAGTGCAGATATCACGTGCCACTGATATCAAACGCAGATTTAGAGATTCCGACTGCAATGTGCACGTGACATGGCTCAAATCGCAATATGGAATTTTTCTAGATTTGAAGTTTTCGTGACTGCAAGGATCCATACTCTTTGGTTCTTTCGGTAAAGTCACGTAGATGAAAAAAAATATTTAATTTAGTTATTTTCATTTTATTATTTTCATTATTACTGTTTTTATTTCTCATCTACGTGACTTTACCGAAAGAACCAAAGAGTATGGATTTTTTCTGTTAATTTAGAAGCCCTCCTATTAATTTTATTTCAAATGCCTAAGCAACCAAGTTGTCAGTTGCTTTTACTGTGCAACATATCGGAATGTGCCAGGTCGTGACACTTTTTTTATTAGCAGAACTGAATAACATTACGGTTTTATGTTATAAATCCACTGAACGGTCAAAATCTATCCCCATCTATCCACCACTGCAAATTAAACAAAAAAAACATGATGTGTAATACATTCAATACATTATCCCGAGGAATAAAACCACTTAACATTTTTATTTTCTAATTTATTGATTTCAAAAACGCCATTCTGGTGAAAAGAGCGAATGATGGGAAGATCTTCTTGTGAGGCTATATTCACGACAATTTCTTTCACAGCACGCGGGGCTTTGAATCAAATTAAATCAGCACGTGGGAAATCGCTACATGCCCAGCGAGGCCCTGCCATGGATTTGGAGACCTGCGGTTGTGCTAAGGTGAGTCTTTGAAAGGATAAACTCAGCACCACTTTGATAGCCCCCCCCCCCCCACGATTTCTTTGAATTTGTGACATGTTGCTACTTTCCCGGAAGTGGATAATCCTACTGGGCAGTGGATTTTTTGTGTGGAAAGGCTCGTGCCCAAATCGTATTATCGAGGGCGGTGAGTTTTCTTTGCACCACATTAATTTGACACTGAGCCGCCAATATCATTAAAGTTAAGAAAGAAATCAAATAAATAGTAAAATTATCTGACATCAATTGGAAGTAGCCGGAATATTATTGAATCCGAGTTTCTTTCGAGATGTTTTGTTATTCAATTTAGCTTTGCGGTTTTATTTTTTACTTTCACACACGTCGTTCGAGATTAACTTAATTTGGATTGATTACGTTTTTTATATAAAAAAGTGAAAGGTGAAAAAGATTAAGACAAATATATATTTATATCGGTACTATATTTAAAGTCATAATAATGTATAGCCCTTTGTCAAGCTATTGCTTGATAAAGGGCTCTCCATACTGTCAGTTGGGGGGATTTTGACCATACTTCACCATCAAGAGGAGGGGACCCCAGGACCTGTTCAGATATCACCACTGACGTTTAGCTGTGGCTGGGAATTACAATATTTAAATTGCTAGGTTCATTATTGGCACTATGTCTACGCTTGTTTTACCCAGGTAAGCCTAATTGACTCTCGTGGTTCTTTCTCAGGATGGTCTCGTCAAGATGACTGCTCAGGATAATACCAATTGAGTAATTTGGGGTTTATTTTTCCGAATTTGGAAAGTTTGCACCGCAACGTGGACGCACAGTGGCCTACTCTTGCGAATAACATCATGGGATCTATAACGTGTACTGTGATGCATACTTAATGCAAAATAATCATTACATTTTATATAGAGCCGTTCGTGCAAATCTGGATCTCACAACGCTGTACAATACAACAGCAACAACAATCATATATATTGCCCTTCGCAAAAACACATGGCACACCCAAACCAAGGTCAACTTATTTAAAGGCCATAGTCATCACAAAGGTGTTATAAATAAAACTTAAATCGGGGAGTGGGACTTACGTGTACGTGAGTTCGACACCGTGGGAGCTGCAGATGCGACGGCAAGGTTGGTTTAATCAGGGTGGCCCTCTGCATTCTGCGAACGCGCACCAAACGCGCAAAGGAAAGCATCAACAGTTTGCATTTGGGAATGTGACAACGAATGTGGGATTGTCCATTGACAAAAGATCATTCAATCGTCGGCGGTGCCGAAAATCCGAGTTCGAAAAAAGCAAGTGGGCATATGCAATCATTATCATATCTGATCATATTTCTGATCATTAATTGCTCATATTGATGTTCTGCTGAAAAAAATATATCTTATCGCTAATATCAGACTAAAGTTAAACCCAAATGCATTACAAAGAGGAACACAAAGTAATGATGCTACCTTTCTTTACGGGGACAATTTTATTACATATTGGATATTTTATAGGTAAATAAATATTGTTGGAGGTCTCCCCCGTCTAAGAGGGCTATTGACATACTGGAAATGTACAATATATTGTTCTTATAAGCAGCAAGCAAGAGAAATTATTTATTTTGGGGGGTGAGGGGGAGGGGCAAGAGGCCCATCTATTAAACAGTATCTAATGTAGGGCCACGTCAGTATCTTCAAAGATATCGATACCACTCAGCAGAGGGATGCGTGTGCTTTAGCCCCAAATGTTGGAGCGGTGGCATACAGGGCGCAACAATGGGGCATTGCCGCAGCGTAGTTAATTTTGTAATGTTTCTTCTCTGTCCAATAATGAATCCATATTAATGAAAGCTACAGGCAATTTGAATGCAGTCACTTAATTGCAAAGTAGTTTTTTTATATATATATTTCGGCTAGTTATGCTGTAAATTATTAAATGTGAAGGGAAATCTAAAGCTGATTTCAATCACTGCATAGGTAATGGTTGACATGGCAATAATCGTAGTCTATGAGAATTAGTAATGTGTAAAAAAAAAATCCGCTTAAACAATGTGCTGATTTAAGCGTGTGAGTATTACAATGATTATTTTTGGGCTTTTGAACTCCATCATAACGCTTAGGTTTTGTTCTTGTGATAAACACATTTTTCATCACATGATTTGACAAAACCATGATGAATATAGTTTAATTCTCTTTTCATGTGTGTTTTTCATTATGTAGCCATATGTGTCCATTTCTCCTTTCCATATTACTAATATTTGTTATCTTTGCCCCGTACAATATGGAAAATATATTGGTTGGAATATGATGACAAGTGGGGGGAGCTTGAGTGCAGTAGTTAGCGCGCTGCGCTATGAACCCGACGGCCTGAATATGATTCCCAACCACGGCTAACACAAGTGGTGAATGATATCTGAACCAGTCTCAGACTCACCAACCGACCCTTCACCAATCGGCACTGACTAGCATGGTTAAGTATGGTCAAACAATTCCCATGACATAAGAAAGCCTTCATCCACCAGTTGAGTAACAAAGGGCTCTAAATTAATCTTATTATTATCTTAATATTTTACATTACTCTGCTTATTTACCTTGCCTTTCATCAGCATTATTATTATCATCATCATCAGCAGCCATGTCTCTCCGCTGCTGGATGAAGGCCTCCCTATGCTGTTGTTATCCTGCAAAGTCCTGAAATGCCACAGTCATATTCGCCTTTGCACGATGGAAAACACATTGTATGGAATGTGGTGACACAGCCAGAGGTAAACAAATGATCAACACCGAAACAATTTAATGAAACGCAAATCCAATGCAAGCTTTTACATGTTTTACAATTTCAGAAAGCACAGCAATTTTTTTTTTAAAACTTACATTTTGTCCATACACGCATTGTTTGCAGCAGTAAAGGTTCAACAATGAGTGGCACAATTTTGTTTTGGTGGGAGAAAATATGCTGGCAGTCACAAATAAAAAAGAAAATAATAATAAAACAAAGATGTTGTCAGGTCCCCAAGAGAAATAAATAATGCAGGATAACACTTTCACCTAAGGAACCATTTTATTTTCTCAACTTCCACCTGTATCAACATTTCATTGGACAGTTTTTTCCCCCCCCAAAAAATCACATCAACTCTCAGCTGCCAGACAATACCCCATACATATCAAACTCATGCCACGCGCTACATCGTAAAACCACACATCGGTCTGATCGCAGCAAAAAAAAAAGGTGACTTCAATTCATGCCACTTTCCATGCCATCTCCATCATCGTCATCCCGGGCCGGGAAAGCTGTGGGCAAAAGGGTTAAGGCTGGCGCTCTCGTCCCCGGGAAAGGAGCGGCTAAAAAGACTTTGACAGCGCGCGGGCTGGCAGGCTCTGAAGTGGGAATTCTCCAGGCGTGTGCGTGGCTCTGGCGAGCCACGGACCCCCGCTGACTGCTGCATCTGTGCAGACTTCACAGAGGCTCGGCCGTCTTTGATCTTCCCATGCAATGCACTGTAGCGGCAAACGGCTTCGCCGAGGACGAGCAGCAATTCAAAATAAAGAGAGCTCGCAGCAGCAGCAGCAGCAGCAACAGCACACATACGTACAAAGACGAAGATCCCCCCCCCCCCCCGTGTAGCCTTAACAGATTGCTGGGGCAAGTGCTGTTAGCGAGCACCTATGAAGGCACACGAGGGGGTTGGTGGACAGGCACCACGCCCGACCGCCTTTGACTCCCCAGTGACGACGTTTACACATCGCAACGGGTACTCGTTTGAGGCTGAGTCGACTTAAGGGAGGCCCAGGACCGGTTAAGATCAGTAATCGTCACCGTGAGCGGGAATGGAACGCGGTCGCTGGGTTTGTACCGCAGCGCGCTAACCGTTGCACTGCCGCTTCCCACACACGCATAAGTACGTACACACACGTACACACACACGTACACGTGTGTGCGTGTACGTGTGGTTGTGAGCGCAGAGAGTGAGAGAGGAAGCAGGAAAATGAGATGCAGCCCCATTGTATTGGGGCGGTGGGAGTGTTAGGGGCTGGGGGGGGGGCATAGTGGGGGGCTGAACCCCCACCTCTGCTGCAGACTCATCCCCGTTTCTAAGTCGAAAAATGTTGCTACAATATTTAACAACGGTGGCAATTTCTTTTTTTTCTTTTCTTAAGCCTTTTTCTCATATCCTCATAGACATATTGGGAACAGAATGGTAGGCAAAACAAGCGTATTGTTACTGATTGTGATAAGCGTTTAACAGTTGCTTAAAGCGAGTTGTTGCATGTCTCCCTTTAACCAAGGTCACCTTATAGTTTTTACGAGATGGTTATATTCAGTATATGTGGGCACCATTACAAAAGATTCTACCCTGTATAGCCTCATGGAACACTGAGGAAAGAGATGCGAGCGAGCACCTCTATATATCACCTGTCAACGATTTTGGCCATTGCCTCGAAACCTGCAGAAGTTTGCCGGGTCTATGGCACATCGAACGAACCACTCTGTTCTCACACGCACACACACGCACACGCGCACCCACGCACACACGCACACACACACAACAACAACAACAACCGCCATTCGCCACTAAGTGGCGGTGACGTCACCACGACGCTTGTGCCAGGCTATGTGCACCGTGAGGCCACGTGAAGTGTCGAACGCCCGCTGGCAGGAGGTCACTGGGCAGACCCAGGTGCCACGGGTCGACTGACTGAGATGACTGGCTGATGCACCACCTGTGCCCCCTACTGTGCCAACCTGCTGTGCTTTAGCCACCCGGCGTTCCGCTCGTTGTTGTGAGCGTCGCTCCTCCGCCCTCCGTTGTTGTTGGAGGGCGACTGCCTCCAACTGCCCAGTAAGCATCCTTCACGAGCCTCCTCCACAGAGGCCGATCTTGACACCGCTGGTACCAGTCATCGGCAAGTCCACTCAGCTCCACGTCCTCCTGTACCACATCACTCCATCTCTTCTCTAGCCCGTGCCGCGCCCGCTTAGCCCCCTCAATCCGGCCAAACAAAAGCTGTTTCGGCATGCGGTGGCTGGGCATGCGGGCTACATGACCCAGCCATCGCAGCCTTGCCTGCCGGAGGAGCTCACCGATGGGACCCTGCCCAGATCTTTCAAGGATTTGTGAGCTCCTCACACAATCCAGTCTGGTTAAACCGAGGATGGATCGTAGGCAGGCCAGCCTAAATGTTTCTAACCGGCGAAGATGTTCCGCCAGGGGGGTCCACGTTTCGCAAGCGTAGAGAAGGGAGGGAATGACCGTGGCCGAGAAGACCTGAAGCTTAGTGCGGAGCGACAGACCAGGTAGCTTCCACACAGCGTTACGCAACCGATGAAAAGATATTGCCGCTCGACTGATTCGGAGTGAGACCTCTGCTGTTAAACTGGAGCCAGTCATAAGCACACTGCCCAGGTATGGGAAACTCTCCACTCTCTCCACAACTGCCCCATCACCGATTGGGAGTTGTGGGGGTGGAGTGTCCGATGGTACAAAAAACCCAGGCAAGTGCTTAGTTTTGGTGGGGCTGATGGTAAGGCCCCACCTCTTAGTGGCATGCTCCAGTCTCAGCAGCAGCGTCTCCAACTCCTCCTCTGAATGAGCAGCTATTACCAAATCATCGGCATACATAATGTGGTTGACCAATAGGGAGCCATTCTCTGACGTGGAATGCTGTAGACGATTATAGTGGGCCTGTCGCTTTTTCTCAACCATCCTGAACACCTCCTCTGTCAGCCAGGGTCTCTGGGAGGTCTGGACCGCGTACCCAAAACAGCCATTGCAGCTGCATGAGTCACAGTCCTAAACCTCGCCCATTTACCCTCGACATCAGGAGGAGTGGGGGACGATGCCAACCCCAGCCGCAAATGATGATTAAATTCTTGCTTGCAACTTTCATCAGCTAATTGAGACCAGGCCACCTTAGATTAGAATATGATCCTGGGTGTACACCCACCACCAGGGTGGAAGAATGGCAGGCGCATCTTACAGATGACTAGTCGATGGTCAGAGGGCAGATCAGCTCCACGTTAGGTCCTGGTGTCAAAGACATGGGCTCGCATCCGCTGGTCCGTTACTATGTAGTCCAGCAGATGTTCCTGCTTGGACCCGGCATGCATCCATGATGTTGTGTGGATGCGCCGATGCCGGAACAGTGTGTTAGTAATTAGAAGCCCATGGGCTGCACAAAAATCTAGCAGCCTCCTACAGTTGTTATTGAGCTGATCTGGCCTATGCCTACAAATCACTCCAGACCAGATGCCAGCATCATGACCAACTCGGGCATTGAAGTCACCCAACAAGATTACTCTATCCCGAGGGGCTACTTTAGCCAGCACCTGTGACAGGTCATAGAAGGCATCTGACTCATTGGCTTTGCCTGTATCCCTCCATGTATGTTCGTCTTCAGTGGGGGCATAAGTAACCACGACCACCACTCCTCGCCTCCGGTTGATGGGAAGTCGAACCCAAAGTAGCCTGGGGCTTACAGCTTCCCACACCTCACCGCCATGCTCCCACACCCCCTTCATTATTTTGTTCAGAAGAAGAGCTACACCCTGCTGTTTGGCAGTCTCGTGTCCCGAGTAGAGGACTGTCCACCCCTCATGGTGGCAGGGGCTAGAGCCGGTCCACTGGACCTCCTGAATGCCACAGAGATCCAGGCGGTACCAGTCCAGCTCCCGACAGTGGAGTGGCAGCCTCTCCTCCTCAGTGAGCGTTTGAACATTCCACGTGGCCATCCGTAGTGGCTTGTAATTGTTTCTGGAGGAGCCCCGAGGGTAATGATTCGATCTCGTGGCTCCGCCAAATGTGGTTTGGCCAGGAGAATTCATAGACGCCTGTCCCCCCGGGGCCTCTGGGACAAGCTTATTAGTTATATATTTCAGTCGTGGTTTAGTTGTAATTTATTGAAGGTGGAGGGGTTACCAGCCCCTTGCACCCATCCAGAGCCCCCATTTAGCCACTGTAGTGGTCACTGACGCGTTGAGGGGAGAGGGCCAATCGGAATTGGCCCTCCCCCCCACAGCACTGTCCACGACAGCGTTGCCCGTCCGGCACCGCGTGGAGGTAGGGGGTTGTTTTGCCACGAACACGCACACACACACACACGTGCACCCGTGTACGGCTGACACAGGCAGCAAAAGGCACACAAGAAAACGTGAGGCAGAGCAAGGAGCCAAGAGGAGAGGCTTGCGAGATCCAGTGGTGGGGGTTGTGCTGCCTTCTCTCCAATTCAACAAAGGGTTGCATCAACACACTCGAATTCTTTCACGGTCACCAGCACCATCGTCTTCAGCGGCATATGATCGGCCTTCATGGAGCTCCGCTTGAACAATAAACGAACAGAACTGCTTATAGTTGTTGCGGAAGGCGCTCTCGGTGATTGATGCACGTGGGTAGGGTGTCACGGTGGCGAGATGTTAACTTCCTCGCCTGGTATACAGGCGCTCCTAGGTTCAAATCCCGACCCTGACGCCTGTATGTTTGGAGTTTGCATGTTCTCTCTCCTCGTGTTCGCGTTCATTTATCTCCGGGTTCTCCAGCTTTTCCCTCCACATTAAGAAACAAATGCGTTCAGAGTATTTGGATGCCATACATTTCCACATGATACGCCAATTTGTTGCACTATGAATTGTGACCAGGTCCCTTCTGAAAAGAGCTACATAGCTCATTGGGCCTTAACTATTAAAATAGTTTTGGATTAGGATATATATTTTGTTGGTGTAACCCAGTTTGCTTTGGGAATTAATCAATACAATCAAGTGCCTTGGTTTGGATCTTTAAACCTAGGACAGCTTCATCGCATCTTAATAAGCATATATGAGGAAAGAGTACGTTGCATATCATCGCCGTGAAAAGATCTTGGATAAAGTGAGTGTGTGCAATTTGCCTCGACGAGAATTCACGACGTGCGATGTGTTTGGGGAATGCAGACACCATAAATAATAAATCAATGCATACTTTGAACAGGAATACAATTTCTTTATTTTTATCCAGCCACACAAGTGCAAGGCAAGCCCTGCAGAAACTCATAGCACATTTTCTGTCACTATCGGTGATAAACACAGCATTAAGTGCATAATAATAATAATGTACAACTCTTTGTCAGTCCACTGCAGAATAAAGGCCTGCCCATGCCTCGATGGTTATGAGGGTTGTTTGATTATTCTTCACTATGCTGGTCAGTGCACGTTGAAGGGATGTGAGTGGTGCAAAACCGGTTCAAATATCGCTCACCAATGGCGTTAGCCTTAGCCAAGACTTGAACCGAGGTCACTCGGTTCATAGTGCAGGGTGCGAGCTACTGGCGTCACCACTCCACCAATGAATTCATATATGAGAATTGAATTAGTTTTAAAATGATTGCATCGTTAGTATGAACATGGCATGTAATGCTGCATCAATTAAAATCGATTCCTATACTCGCAACACAAACATAAAATTGTGCAAAAATATGATTTTACTATTCATGCAAATTGCACCACGTTAGTGGTACGATAATAATGTTACACGAGCTCACGAAGCAAGCAAGGCCTGTACAGATGTGACGCAAATAAACCCATGAGAAACAATACAATAAAG